TGCAGACAGCCGTGCCGAGGGTTGGAAGTGGCAATGGGTTCTAAGGCTCGGTTGTCTGTGATGCCCCCCCCCCCTGCCCCCTGTCTGGATTCCTGCGCCGAGCGGGGGGGGGGTCAGGGTTCAAAGGGTCATTTCCCCCCCCCTCCCCTTTGAACCTTGCGGGTTGTGTGTTCTTGACCATTTGTGCCTTTGACAAAGTCCAGTGGAGCTTAGACAGAAGGAGGCTGTTGATGATACCTTGCTTACTCATAAATAACATAATAACTTCCTAATCCAAACATTATTTTTAGAAATAAAAGTTTCTTCACTGAAGGCGTACATTTTCCTAATAGTTTAGACTGCTTGGTTGCCGAGTATAAGGACTAATGTGTACATTTTTTTTTAATTTTCTTTATTAGCTTTGGCAGTACAGTATATTTATTAGTAAATACAGTAAAGTAACAATAAATATAAAACACAAGGTAACGTTTTTTTCTTTCTTAGTTTGTGTTTTATTTTGTTTGGGGTGGTCTCTTTTCTATATTTTTTTTAAAATTGAAGATTGTTCCAATAATTTTAGAAAAACAAAAATTAAGGAGAGACCACGTAATGTTTTATCAGGAAAAAAAATCTGCAGAGATTTCCTTGTTTGCATTTTAGAAGTTCAACTTTCTCTTCCCCCTTGCAGGAAATGGGGATACCGGGAACGTTTTGGAGTCTGCCAGGCCTTATTTCCTAGTAAATGTTGGCTATTTTACTCGGAAGCTGGTAAGCAAACTTCACGAGGGGGTGCTGGTCACAGAGCCGAGGAAGACCATCCTTTTCATCGCAGAGCAAGTGCAACTGGTGAGGGCTCCTCCTCCCCCCAACTCCCTCCCTCCCCCAGGTGCCATTCTCAGCCGTTTCTGGATAGCAGCAGACGCACCAAGTGATGCCGCTGTAAGCTTATTAGGGATGGTTTCCACCCCAGGGACGCTACTTCTGTGGCAACAAATAATTACCCTAAATTCCCTTCAAAATTTAATTTCCATTATGAGGGGACTGACAGCTTGAATGCTCACACATGTTCATGCTTGTTGGAGAAGGAAAGTAGTTGGATTAGAGAAAATTTTGCACAAGGCAAATGGGCATTTAAGAATCATTATTGCATATGCATTCCAGTACACATTCCCACGTGCCACAGATTAAAAACAACAGAGAAAAAAATAAACATTTTCATTTATATTTGCATGTGGCTGAATGTCTGTAAGCACCAGCAAAGACAAATTCCTTGAAAAACAGAGGAATAGAGTTCCTCATTCTGCAACGTTTTGTTGCAAATCTGGTTGCATAATTGCTTTTAAGTGTCTTAGATTAGGATTATTTTTAAATTTTTCATATTTCCGTGGACATTTTAGGTCATATCCCTAAACACGGTGCATTCTGAGCCTCTTGACTGTTTTTTAACAGGTAACAAGAAAGCTTTTTCTCCACAAAGAGTCAATTATGAGCAACCTGTACAACTGTTTGAACCACAGCATCTTGTACTATTTATCAAATTCTTCTTCTGGGCCTCAAAGTCTCCTGGAAGTTTTGCAGACCCTTCAGATGCGATGGGATGTCATCTTTGCAGTGCACAATTCTAGCCTGGATTTCATCGCAAGCCTTTTGTATTGCCTGTTGCAACTGAAATCTATCAGGTACGGTGGTGTTTCCTTACTCTGGCAGAACTCTTAGGCAAGGGAACCAAAATTTACAGAAACTTATTTTCAGAGAAAATATGTCTCCTCGGGGACAGGCATTTCAACGGCACCCGTTGAATTGTGTCACCATGGTCAATGTAGATTTGACCTTGAAGAGACTCCAAGGGTTTAATCTAGAATAGAGGAAGAAATGTGCTGGATATGTCCCTGAGATACAATGACTTCCATAAGGACCGGTTTGTTTCTAGTCATGTTTTGGAGAGATGCCTCTCACCTCTAAAGCTTCTTTCAAACCTGGGGAAGCCTTTTGTGATCTTCCTGAATTGGGAGGGGGTATTCCAACATCATGCGTATGGAACTGAGAAGTCCCCATCACGAGAGAGTAAACTTTCAGTAAATCTGTGATTATTCTTGGTAAATAAATAGTGTCACCTACTTACTGTCGGACCACAAGTGTGGCCCATTTCTTGACTCCAACTCTGCCTCCTGCTTTATTCTGGTTTTGGTTCTTGGATAGTTTACTGGGCCAGTTTGCCGTTTCCTTGCAAAGTCTTAACAACTCTATTTGGTCTCGGGCAGGAGAGCTTTATCAGACGCTTGCATCCTCCTGTGGCATCAGGAGGAAAGCCAAAAAGATGAAATAACACACATGGCAACGAAGAACTCTGGCTAGCTAGGAAAAAGGCCATTTTGCCTTCCGGAAGAACCCAGAAGCTGTTTCCATTTAGATTTGGGAAGCTTCCTCAGCTTGGAAATGACTGCATCAATCCCTCACTGATGGAACAATAGCACCACGTCCAGTTTAAAGAAAAGGATGAAGATAAAAGGGAAAATGGACCCATAAACGGAATCCATCCTAGGGGCATGGAGGCCGAGACTTCTTTTACCTTGAAATGCTGTGTTAATCCCCAAAGTAATCCCCAAAGAGCAGATATTGGAGCAGTTTGTCTTTTAGTTGTTCTTCTTGGTTATTAGAGTTCTTAAAAATAACCATGTATTTTAAAAAGTTCTTTAAAAATAAATATATTAGGATTAAGTTGCATTAAATCATCCCCCAGCTCACTTTTTTTGCTCAGATGGTGGTCTTAACGAACCTGCCTATATTTTAGCCAGAGGTTTCTTTGTTATTTTCTGTGTTACAGCTGTCATGAAAATGGTGAGGCAAAATGGATGCCGGCTTCGGGTTATTCTCTTGGCCCGAGGAAGGAGGAGGAGGAGGGAATCGATGATCTTTCTGCCCTGAAGGATGGTAAGCATGACATGATGGATGTGGAAAAGCGGGTGGAGAAGAGAAGAAAAGGAGAAGGCTGTTGTAGATGTCCTGCTTTGCTCTCAAAATCTACCCACTTCCAAGGGTCTACAGAACGAGGCCGAGAGCTGGCAGAGAAAGGACAGAGTTTCATCCGGGTCTTCTAGGCTAAAGGAAATACGCAGTGCCGAATTAATGGCTTCCAAGCAACAGAAACCACACCTGGGCCAATGCAGCCCACACGGATTGGGCAAAGCAGAAGCTGACAGTGACTCTTCTACTAAGGAACTAAGCTCAACACTCACCCACTGTGGTCTCTTTAAAACATGGGTGCATTTTGCAATGTCGATATAGAAACCTTGTCACCCAAATTGTTTACAAATTATTGCCTGGAAACTAAAAAAGGCAATTTTACACGAGATACATGGAGAGAGATGGGTCATTTATTATTTTAGACATGTCTGTTGCTCTGGCTTCTACATACCTTCTGCACAGGCAGCATCAAAATCTGGAGGGCTGCAAGTGATTCTGCTTTAAGGATGTCCTGGTTTCCATAAATATCCACGTAACCGATCAGACTTGCCTTCAATCCGGAAGCGATGCATGATGGCCCTTTTCCTGATGTCATACTTTCACACCAAAACATACTTGCCTTTTATTTCATTCCAGTTCAGCAAGAGATCCAGAGGGCAGCTGAGGAAATCTGGCTCCGACTTCTTTCCAGGAGAAGAAGGGATTTGGAGGATGCGTACAAAACCTCTTTATTTAAAGAGGAAGGCGATGGAGAGGAGAGAATGAAGATGGAGGACGTAGCTCCTCTTTGGGAAGAGGCCATGAGGAAGACCTGGCAGGCCTTTCTAGGTCTCTGCTCTTGAAGTCTTTAAGGGAAGGGGCCTTTGGGGCGAGGGGTCCACTCAGGAACCATCGTTAAGCACGATACATGCTACCAAGGGAGCGGTTGACAGGCCCCATCGTGATCTAGGCTACTTCATCCATCCGGTGGGCTGTAACCGGTGGTGACAGGTGGGGTTCGGAGATGTCCAAAACACCACAGAGCTGGATGCAGGGGAGGCCTTGCTCGGCAGCAGGAAGAGTCTTTACAGTTTGCTCTTTGGAAAAACAAACATCCAGGGCAGAGGAAAACGCAGCTGGCTGGGATGCCCGCTTTGCCCTGGGCCTTACCAAGCCTGGGCTCCTCGGGGGATAACATTGAAGCCACTGGGATGGCATCAGTGGTCAGGAAGAGGGGTTGGGTGGCACCTGAAGTGGTACAACAAAACCTTAACTCTGCTTGTTGCTCCTTCCCTTTCTGTGGTTCCAGCGTCGGGGAAAAAAGCCTCCCAGAGCAGAATCCTCATCAGTGTGTCCAGCAGGACGAGGCCTTTGAGTGAGAGCCTGAAACAGGTGAGGCACAAAACTGGCATAAACTGCCTTTCCAAATCCTCTTGGGAGCCCTCAAAGGAAGCACACGGGCAAAGAACGCAGGGGGGCACCGTGCGCTTCCCGACTTGCAGTCCTGCTCTATTTGCTGACATGCAGCGTGTGGCCCAAATGAAGCCCCCCCCCCCCCCCCCCCCCGGGAAGAAAGTGCCGAGGGCAGCGAAGGCTTTGTGGGCGAACTCAAGGCCGGCTTCGTAGCTGCTTTGCTGTTGGCTGAGAAAGAGACTCAGCCTAAGTAACCTCCTTCCAGGTGTGATGGGAACGCACGTTCCTATTCAATGCTGGCACCCTCTATTTGCCTTCGGGTCTGTTTAATTATTTCTTAAAATTAATTTTGATTATTACAGCTGATTACACATCAGTGAGCAAAGTAATTGATATTTGTTAATGTATCCCAAGGAACATTTTGTACAACTTGTATTTGCTGTTGAAGGTTAAAGACTATTATTGGTTTTTCCCTAAATGTGCCCACATCATTAGTTCTTGTAGTAGGAAAGGATGCCATCTGGAAAAGGCCGAGTAGACGCATTATTCAGGCACAAGTGCATGAAATTGAGGTTTCTGCATCTTCTGTCTTCCTCTTCTAAAAAGAAAAGGCTGGTAATTAAAGGAGAAGCCGGATTACAGGGGAACATTACTCATTTTTTGTTGTTTTCGGTAATGTCAGCAACCGACGCTTCGAGATCTGATAGACACTTCCCTGTAGTGTGACGTGCAACTGAGCCTCCGACTCTTGCCTCTCTTTTTGCTCCAGGCAATTGTATTTTTCCCCCCCTCGTGCTTTTCAAGAAGATGAGTTGTACAGCAGGCTAAATGACTGATAGGAGATCTCTGGGACTTCCAGAGCCACAAACAGACAGAGGGACACATTCTTTATAGCAACTCTGGTGCACCAGAGGGGTTTTTTTTCCTGTGCACCTTGGAAAGGAAAGAAATCCACAGTGAGGATGAGTTATATTTCCCTTCCCTCCTAGATTCATTTCCCCACTAGGCCTTCTCCCTAAAGGACAAGGGCAATGATGATAAGCAAGGCAGGAACAGAGTGGAGGGCAGGAGGAAGACCTGCCCCCTTTCGGAGCCTTAGCAGATCAGCCCTGGCCAAGGCGTCCTTTAGGAAATGAACTTGGTGGGCTGCCCGGGGTCTTTGGAGAGCTTTGCCACCTGCTGCTTTGCTTCCCCAAACTCGGCCCCTATGGAGGCAGCAGGGAGAGGAGGCGGGTGATGGAGGTCCAGGCGGACAGAGGTCAGAGGCTGACCTCCAGGGCTAGGAACGGTACAGGAGCTGAGCGGGAAGGCAGGGCCGCTCCCACAAAACCCAGGGCCAGGTTTATCGCCTTCTCATCTTTCTCTTAATCTCAGTATCATTGATGCTGCCAGAAACATCCCCAGTTAGAGATTTGGTCCCTGTGTTAGGCTTCCCCTGCTGGAACAGATCTCAGGGGACCAAGATAGAGGGAAGTCGGTCATAGTAGCCGCAAGATCATGTTTTAAAAAAAGAAATATAACCCTTTATTATTAAAACAAATACATGAGTCTTTTAATTAGACGATATTTGACAATATCTGACCCTGAAGAATGAACTGAGGTTGAGCAGATGTTGCCTCACATCTGGCTTTCCAACTGGAGTGGTTGGAGGGGGCCTCGTCCTCAGAGAGGTTGGTCTCCTGCCCCAAATGTCTCCTTCTGGTTCCAGCTGGAGGTTTTCCTTTTGGCTCTGCCTCTTTCGGCCCAAAAGACGTGACTTTGCCCTGATCTTTCTAGATCTTCCCTCCCTTTGGACCGAAAGCTTCCCTGAAGGGTTTCCTCTCAGAATAAAGGCCTCTCCACTGACAGATCTGAGTCGGAGCTTCTCTCCCCCTTTTCATAAAGTTTCTTCCTTCACTAGTACGACCAGTGGTTAGGAACCCTTGAGCAGACTAAGCACGTGCTTAGGGCACTGGGCCCAGGGGGGGCACCACACAGTTGAGAAAGGGGGAAAAAAAACCCAATGAAGATTTGTTCAGTGTGTACAAAGGGTGGGCAGGTGGGGGGCACCAAGATTTCTCAGTGCTTAGGGCCCCAGTGAGCCTTAATCCGCCACTGAGCACAACCCTCAACATGGAGCATTTTCTTACAACTCAAACATTCAGCTTTTCTCCCTTCTGGCAAACAGAAACATGGACTCCAAAGAGCAAAATGTCCACATTTACCTTTAAAAACAAACCGTGTTTATTTTCCCAAACAGAAAAGGGGAAATAGTTGTTTTTACAATCCAAGCAGAAATTCTTGTACGTAGAGCTAATAATTTTCTGCTGACTTGCAAAGACTTTTAACCATTTCTTCTGCATACATGTTTTTAGGTGTCTGCCTTAATTAGTGCTGTAATTAGGGAAAGGTTGTAATTAGTGAAAGGCTGCCTGAGTGTCATAGTTGGGCAAGTTCCCTTTGCCCACCCAAGTAGATCAAAGGAAGTTGAGGCAACACAACTCACACAGTCACATCTACCTGCAACTCATTTACTGGGCTTTCTTTTGGCTTGGCCAAAATCTGGTGTCCGTGATCCGTTTTGTGCTGAGTTTTGAAGGAAGCACATAATGCTCCCGTGACAGGTGTGTAGTGCCCTCCTAGAGGTATTTGGTGAAAGTCAATTGTTCTGAGCTCACAAGAATTTCCAGTGGCTGCTTGAGGAGGCTGTCCGTCCAGATGTGAGTTTTGCCTGCCCTGCTTTTCCCAGCCGGTGCTTCCCCAGTGTGTGGAGGGCACAGTGTCAGTATCCTCTTCAAATCTCTTGCCATGATGCCCTGTGTATTATTTCGACCAAACAAGCAAATTTATAATTAATTATATTTCTGCTAATCATTTGTGTAGCATCTTTATCTTCATAATAGAAAGATAATTAACACCACTGATTATCTAATTAAATTCATTAAGCATCTACCGACAGTGCTCTATGAAGCTGACATTATGTTCCATTGTCAACAAAAGCTTTGATTTCTTAGGAAGTAATTAAAATGTAAATTAGCATGCCATTAAATACACGGGGGGACTTTTGAATCTGATATTCATTTCAGAACTGCTCATGGCAACCCATTTTTTTCTTTCAGTGCAAACAGGCAATTTGCTTTTAATGACATATATTAACTTTTCCCCCACTGCAACATGAATGTCTTCCTTGGATATCTGGCGTAGTTCACAGCCGGAGTAGAAGGGAGACTTCTTTGAAACTGATGATTTGCTGGTAAACCTGGGTGATTTCTGTCCATGCAGGAAGAGCTTTTCTGTCTGCACGAGCTCAGAGCTCAGAGCCCAGAATGCCACCAATAACGCTAAGGGTATCATGGCCTTTTCATTTCTTCATCAAGAGGAGAACATCCGTTCCTTCTGCTGCAAATCGTGGGAGCCAAAGAAGCCTGCCAGTTGCTTTACTATATCCTGGCACGGATCTTGAAATTTGCCACTGCTGAGGAACAAATTATTCCTACTTTTTTTACATTCTATTCTTGCTGAAATATGCTAATACGCTAATGCTGCCTTCTTGCATTTGGGTCCCTGCTGCCCCCTTTCAGCCCCATCTTCTACCAGTCTTAGCTCCTCTTTCTCTGGTTCCGCCTCTTTCCCAATTCTACTTAACCGTCAACTGGTGGAAGGGCCTCCCTGGAGAGGTCGGGGGATGCTCCATCACTGGAGGTTTGCAAAAAGAGATCAGACAGCCATTTCTATGAAATACTATCCGGTCTCACGCTTGAGCAGAGCTACAAGTCCTCCAAGGTCCCTTCCAACTCTGCTATTCTGTTATCGTTCTTTCTTTCTTTCTTTCTTTCTTTCTTTCTTTCTTTCTTTCTTTCTTTCTTTCTTTCTTTTTCTTTCTTTCTATCTATCTATCTATCTATTCATTCTTTCTTTCTATTCATTCTTTCATTCTTCCTTTCATTCATTCATTCATTCATTCATTTTCTACCTTCTGGTCTTCTTTATTTCCCCTCCCCCTTCTTTGATCTTTCTTCTTTTCTATCTGTGCCTTCACTCTCTTGGAAGCACAGCCCCCTCCCCTTATTAAATGACCGGTTCTCCCAGACTGCCAAGGGTGGGGCCTTCAAAAGTTTAGTCCAAGATTGCAAGATTCTCACCTCAAGACTCCTTAGCACAATTTTGAAACTCGTTTAAGATTTATTCATCAAATGTAAAGCACAAATGTTTTGTTACAGACATCAATTTATTAATAATTTTTGTTTTAAATCAGGATTTTACTTCATATTTAGAAAAATGCAGGAGAACTGGCCAAGAACTCTATGCAGTTTTATGCAAGGATCATGTTGAGGTAAGAAACGAAAAAGTCACCTTGGCAGGGAAAACAAAACGTGGTTGGGCGCATCAAAGAAACGTGGTTGATTACATTGATGGCATTTATACCTGCAACCATCAGGAGACTCTGAGAAATTTACATTAGTAAAAATGGAGAAGGAAAGAAAACGTTAAGATTGAGAAAAGAACCCATTCACTACCTGAATTTGCTTCTAATAGGGGATTTGATATTTATCTGCTTAAAATAGAGTGAAGTGATGGAGTTATTGCTCTCCAAGTAATTACAGGAAAAAGAACTTCCTCACAGAGAGAGCTAAGAGGATTTGACTCGCTCGGGGTCCCATTCTGCCCAGGTGAAGCTTTGTAGAGCAAAGTGCTAAATGCAGTCATCTCTACTACCTTCAATTTGTTTAGTTCCGACTGAATTTAAATAAAACCAAGGGCAGTTTATGGGTCCTGGTAATCCTTCAAAAGCCATGGGCCTCCCTCGGTCCCAAAGGAGAGGTCAGTCCCTGCCTTCTCACCGAAGGAATCCGGCCACAGGGTCCCTGGTGAAGTTGCTGGGCCAGAGGGAGGAAAAGCGAGGTCCAAGCCCATCCTGAGCTACAGGGGGATTGTGAGTTTCCCCCTCAGCCCAACCTGCCTCTTGTGGAGAAAAGGGGCACTCGGGGCACCCCCTGCGGCTTCTGCAGGTAACCGAGTACTTGCACAGGGCTCTGATCAGTGCTTTCCTTTCCTTTCCAAGGCAGAGACGCAACATCTGGGTAGGAGCAGGAGCAGGGGAGAAGACTTTGCTGCCAGTGACTCTCTCTCTCTCTCTTTCCTGCAGAGGGCGCTGTGCCTACGCTTGAAGTCTGCCAAAGCCTGGACTGAGCTGGAGGACCGGCTTTTTAGGGAGGGGGGCCCGTGGGGGTCTGCAGTAGCTTCTCCTGTCACAAGGTGGGTCCTGGATGCCTACGAAGGTCCTGCTCGGATGAGGAAGAGGATCCAGTTCAAAACCGCCCACCGTGCAGCGGAGCTGTTGCAGGACAAGGTAAAACCTGCTTTCGGGGCAGGAGATCCGGTTTCCTCCCGCCGGGACAGAGGAAAAGAGGCTGCTCTGTGTCACGAAGGAGGCCCCAGAGTCTCTTGTTGAGTCTCCTGAGCTGCAGGCTGGGAGCTTTGCTGCCTGTTGATGCTGATGCTGAGATGATGCGAGGGGAAGCGGCTCCTGCCGTTCTTGCTTTGCAACACAAAGGCCGAGGAGAACCAGGTAGAGTTTTAGGCCCAGAGGGGCACAAAACAGACCCTGGGATGCAGAGCAGTTGCAGGCAAGAGAGAGGGCAGGAGGCAGAATTCCCTGCCGCTGGCTGAGACGAGGTTGCAGTGACTCAGACACCTGCATGAAGGAAATAAGCTGATGGGATGGTGCAGTGGTTAGAGTGCAGCATTGCAGGCTAACTCTGCCCACAGCTAGGAGTTCAATCCTGACTGGCTCCAGGTTGACTCAGCCTTCCATCCTTCTGAGGTGGGTAAAATGAGGGGCGAGAGGCTGACTCCCTAAATCACTTGGAGAGGGGCTGTAAAGCCCCGTGAAGTGGGATATAACTCTACAGAGTAAGTGCTGTTGGCTGCTGGCTCCAGGTGCTTCCGAGTCGTTCTTGGGGCAGCAGCAGCCCGGCTCCATGGCCAGGTGCCACGTCTCCTCCTTCTGTGCCCTGCAGCTCAAACCGTTCCTTTTTCCAGGCCCAGCAGACACAGAAGAAAGCCGCATCTGCTCCGGCTTGTGTGGGAAATCCAGGTAATGTTGCCCGATGAGGGGCTGGGGCGAAAGAGGAGGGGCTGGCCTGGCCACAAGGACCAGCCGGGCAGCCTGGCAGTCTGTACTGAACCCAATATTTCCAGCCCCCCCTCCCCGCCTGCTGACATGTTTTGTAAGAGCAGGCAGCAAACCCTTTATTTTTAAAAAGCACTTTTATTTTCATACGGCAGAGTCCCTCAGCTACGTGATAAAAACAGAGGCGATGGTTTCAGTTCAGGAGCGTCTAATATGGGACGTTCTGCACCATTTATGCCTCTTCCTTGAATGCAGGTGAGCGGCCAACCCCAACTAGAGAAGGGGAAGCAGGTCGGGATCAGCTGACCTTTTTTCCTGCCCTGGGTGAACATCTCCACTCGGAGGAATTCGTGGAATTTGTCTGCGTGGAAAGGAAAATTGTCCTCCAGGAATTAGTCCAAGACGAAAAGGTAGAAGCAGAAGCAGCACAGCCGGTCCGTCCGGGGCACCTGCGCAGGGCTCCCTCCAGGCCCAAAATCCAGCCGCTTCCGTGTTCCCCTGTTGCAAAGTGAGGGGCCAGGCGGGAGGGTCCCGTCCCCTCCCCCCCTCCCTGCCCATCCGGAGGGAAACGGTTCATCAGGAAAGCAGCCTTACTTCCCCCACACAAGGCAGGCCGTTTCTGCGGCCCGTTTTAACAATTAATTAACTTTGCAACTGACTCCGCTGTGGAAGAAAAGACATTATTTTAGTCTGAATAAGGCTGCGTGAAAGAAGGAAGGCCGTTTAGAAACGAGTATTGCTCAGTCAACGAGTCTTAATTTTTCATTGGTAAAGTATTGAGCACCGGAGGCAAAGTTAAGACGGCTGCCGGGCCGTTCAGCTGCATTGCCATCTTCCCCGTTTAGGTTTCCTGCCGGCTGTCCGTGGTGGTGGTGGACGGACACGCAGCGTCGGAAGGGGCACTTCTCCTTGGCCGCGACCACTTCTACGTCTGCAAGCACTTCGCCCTGTCCCACCTGGGGGAGGTTTATTGCACCAGCCATTGCTTGTCCTGGTGAGCGGTTCTCTACCTGAGCGGCACCTGGGGCTGCCCGGCCTATTGCTGGCTACTGCGAAAACAGGCCCCGGTCCGTCCCAATTTGTCATTGGGGGGGGGGGGGCAGAGGAAAGAGCCCAAGCAGAGAGAAGAGTCCCCAGTTCAGGCAGAGCCTTAACACGGGAGGAGGAGGAGGAGGTTCCTTATTCTGGTTTGCTCTGAAGGCCCCACATACCTTCACCTGGGAGGGAAAAGAGAGATACGAGGGTCAAGGATAACCGAAAGATGATCCTAATTTAAGTCCTTACACCACAGTCTGTGGGGATATTTCTACCACCAAAAGGTGCCAGATTTTGCAATCCCAATTACGGAGGGAGGGAGGGAGATTCCCCCCTCCTCCTTTTACTTCTGCTTGATTCGTTGCAATTCACCTGCAGGACCTGAGCTCCTAGGTCTCTCCTCTTGCTGCCATGGTTCCTGGAGAGAGATGGGGGGAAAGGAGATGCTGACCTCCCCCCAGGTGCCTCCAGGTCCCAAAGGGGACAGGCTGGCGGAGGCCTCGGGGAAGGGGCTCTTCCTTAGGAGGGCAAAGGGGCCAAATGCCTTCCTGCCTACAGGCAACTGCTGGTGGCTTTTTTCTGGCTCAGGCTGAGGTGGCCTGGAACGAGTTCTCCACCGTAGGTTTTGGGGCAAGGCAGACGAGGACAACTTAGGCCCTCCTTGTTTGCCACTAGTGGAGTCCAGTTAATGATGCCGTGGTTTGCCTAATGCACGTTTCCCATGGTTGCTCCTAGCATCAGAGAGCCATTCATTTACAACTTGTGCCACGCAACGGAGGCCGCGCCTGTGGAGCCCACTTGTTCCTGCCATTCCTACAGGGACATTAGGGAGATCCGGCCGATGCGTTTCCTCCTGCAGGTAGGAACCACCTGTCTGCCTTTGGGCTTCCCTTTGAGTAGGGGATGTCTAATGAAGGTACACAAAGTTTTGGGTGGATGTTCAACAGGTTGGAATGAAAGAAACAGTCAACTATTATATAAATGCACAAACTGTTAAATGCTTCCTTGGGTGGCGAAATTCTGAAACACCTGAATGGATTCCATAGCTGTCTTTGAGTTGATGTGCTCTAAATCTTCAACTTGATTGGGGACAGACCAAGAATAATAGCACCAATAAACCAGTGAAGTGTAAACATTTTTTTAAAAACCCAAATTTGTATCCTGTCCGGGTTTTGCCAGGATAAAGGAAGTGGTTTCTGATTCTGACAGTTCCTCCAAGCTTGATTCTTCCTGTCAGTGAGATGTTTGAAGCAATAGCAGAACTGGAATCACATGGAGGAGCAACAGAAACGACTGTTCTTTGAGCAGAAACCTTACAAGGTTTTCAACATCGGGATAATCGATTGACTGCCTGAGCGGAGGGGGAGGGGGGGGGGATGTGGTTCTGAGTGGTTCTGAGCCAGGAGCTCTTTGGCCTTTGGGTGGTGGTGCCTGCCAGAGGCCATGCTCCAAAAGGCAGTGGCCAAGTCCAGGAAACGGTCCTTTCAGCCGGTCAAGAGAAACGTCCTCTCTAGTCGTATCCTTAAAGGTAAAGATCGGGGGCAATTTTTGAAGATGCCTGGAGGACAAGCTTTATGTAACTGTCTGATCTGCACCCCCGACAATGAATGCTGGGGACAGCAGCACGGGGATCCCGAGATCCCTGGATCTAGTCCGGTTGGCTTGATGACTGCCGTTGAAGTCGCTTAAGAGAAAGAAGCGTTTTCGCCTTCCCCTTGCAAGCTGATCGTTTGGTTTGTCTTCACAGGAGATGGCCCTGGAGATCTTCTTAAACAATGGCTACTCCGTTTTCCTTGTATTCCACAACAACGACAGGGAAAAGTTCTTAACGAGGTACCTTTTGCAGAAGCTACGAACACGCTTTGCTTCCTGCCTGGTCACCAGAGGTTTTCTCCAAGAGTTCGCTAGAAATCTTGCTTTTCCCATAGACGGTGTTCGCCTCACTGCTTTTGCGCTGTGTGAGAAATGTTCATTCTGCGCAACAGACAACCGAATGTCCCAGGTTGCCTCGTCACCACCGGCCTTTGCTCGTTTGTGCATCATTGTTAAACATTCTCCAAAGGCCCATCGGTTCATCTCCTTGTTCTAGCTCTATTAATATAGCAGGTGGATTTGTAGACCGGCATTTCTCTCTCATCTGCAGAATATTAAGACAGACAATCACTAGGCCCAAACCCATCCTGGGAGTGAGCCTAGCAACTCGGCTTCCCGCCTTTGCCAGGCGAAATCTGGCAGATGAATGGCTCTTTCTGGCCTCCTTAGAGCGATGATAAACATTAAAACAGCCGTGAGATATGAAAAATCAGGTGGACCTAAGAAATAAATAACTCTTGGAGGAAAGACCAATTACGTTATCGTTTCCTAATGGTTTCCAACCCAATGGAATCCTGGAAAGAAAGGATTTAGGAAGGTTTGAGACCTGTTTGTCAACAGATGCACTTTCTGTAGACGAAGTATAATGGGACCAAATTCAATTTAAAAAAGGGCCAGATGGTGCTGTAAAAAAAGTCCCGGGGTAAATAACCCCCCCCCCCACACACACACACACTCTGTGCACCCCTGGCCAAGCTGGGCAAGAGGGGGGCCCTTCGGAAGGCCGAGGAGGCTGGCCATTGCTCCATTCAAACCCCCTCCCCTCCCCAGGTCTCTCCTGGTCACATGACCCAAAGTGGGTCCTGGGCAGCCTTGGAGGGTCTCCCAGATAAGCAGCCCCACAGATGCACCCAGGTGCCACCTAAGCAGCATAAGAGGTAGACAGCTCCTGGGTGCGGCTGATGAACGATGGAGCGGGGTCGATCCCCAAGGACGCCTCCGGCTGGCTTTCCCTACCTTCTTTACTAGGGGTGGGGGCTGCATATTTGTGTGCTCTTTCAGAAATAGCATCCCCCAAAGTGCAGTGGGGAAATTCAGTTTTTTTTACTACCATTTCTGTGGGCGCGGCTTGGTGGGTGTGGCAGGGGAAGGATACTGCAAAATCCCCCTTTCCTCCCGATCAGCTGGGACTCCTCGGGAGGCAGAGAATGGATGGGGGCGGGGCCAGCCAGAGGTGGCATTTGCCGGTTCTCCGAACTACTCAAAATTTCCGCTACCGGTTCTCCAGAACCTGTTGGAACCTGCTGGAACCTGCTGGAACCTGCTGGATTTCACCTCTGCCAAAGTGACTTCAATTCAATCTTCTATCAGCTTTCAGAATTAATTGTCTAAAGCTCTCACCTTTCAGAGGAATAAAGTTAACTGTTTTTTTCCCTCAGATTTTGTTCAGTGAGATCAAAAGGAGTTGCAGACGAATCTACTAACGTAAGGTATTTTTGCATGTCCTGATATATAAGAAAATGAATTAATTAAATGTGGTGGTCTTTTGTATTAGCACTTGCCTGACATTTACCTCAGAAAGACCGGATTCCAACTTTGGGGGGAAGATGCTTCTTTCTCTTGCCATCATTTTTACTGCAGTTGAGTGGATCACGTGATCATTAAGCAAATCTGGTTTCCCCAACTGACGTTGCTTGTTGGAAGCCAGCTGAAAGATCACAAATTGTGATCACGTGGTTGCAAGACACAACCATTGCAAATGTCAGCCAGTTGCCAAGTGCCTGAATTGCCATCACAGGACGTGTGTGAGTGTGTCTGTCTGTGTGTGTGTCAACAATTATAACTTCAAGGGCAGGTTGTAAGTCCAAGGCCGTCATACCTTTGGAGCATGATTAAATAAACAGTTGTAAGCCGAGGACTACCTGTACAGGCATAAAGTAAACTGATTTGCATTCTCCGGTGCTAGCCTGCTCTTCAGATTTTGTTCCTCCGTGACCATTTATTATTGGGAGATATTAAAGTAATACCTAAATAACAAACGAGGGGATATCCGGTTCACCGGGGAACCGGTGGAATGCAGAGCGCGTGGAAGCATCTGAAGGAGGAAACAGAAGGTGTTTCTTTCCAAACAGAGAAGATTTCTGGCCTATTGTCATTTAGAGACTCTGCTGCAGAAGACTGAGAACATTAATAATGGTTTCTATTGGAGATGATTACATTTCTCCTTTTTTTATTTTTTATTTTATTTTAATAAGTGCTAAACGCAGTATTACAGTAACAAAAACATCTGGGTATTCCAAGAAGAAAGTTCAGTGAAGAGAATTACCACATTTGCAATGTTGTTCCTTTGATGGCCCCAGAGACTTCAGGATCCTTCACTACACGCTGCATCGAGATCCTATCCCTCCATCCGTCACTGGAGCTTTAGGCTCTCTCTCAATTTCAGCTATTTTGGGTGCCTTTGACCCTCGGCAGCATCTGAGCAAATCCCTGTAGTTTTCATGGCAACGTTTTGGGAGGCCATTTGCTCTTCCCTTCTTCCTCCTACGGCTGAGCGGGAGGGTCTGGTCCAAGGAGACCCCGCTGGCACGTGCCTCTCGCTCTCCTAGCCTGTATCTACTGCACCCAACTGGGTCCCTGGCTTCAGCTAGTAAGAACAGCTAATTCAGGCTCTTTTGCTTGGAAACCCGAGCTTTAGAAGCATTTTTGGATTCAAAGTGTGTGGTTTACTTAAGATTTTTCTCCCTTCCTCTAATCTAATCTCAGGAACGTAGTCGCCATTTGCTTTTGGGAAAGCATGCACTCATCACAGCACAGAGACGTTCGTGGCTCCTTGAGTGATGGTTACATTCCAATTTTTGCCCCGTGTTCAGCGTCTCTTCTTTTGCCCCAGAAACCCCAAGCAGCACCCCTGGTCTGTGGGGAAGGAGTAGTGCCTCGTGTATTTTGGAACTCCCTGGCTGCTCCTTTGAGAGGATGTTCTGTGGGGACACGCTCTCTGCAAAAGCCTCCTGGTTTTCATAGAAGACGATCAAATGCCCTGCATAAATGTGACTCAGAGCCACGCATGTCCATATCAATAACCCATGATGCACTTTTGACTAGTTCTCACGTGCGCATGAGACAGCAGGCAAGGACTAAATGCCAGACAACTGAATGCTGGGCACATTGTCGCTTTCAGAGGAGAATTTTGTTGCTACCCAATAAACCCTAGGCCAGGGATTCCTAACCTCCTCTATACACCGCACCTCTAGAACGCTTCTGATATATTATCGAACCCCTTAAAAAATAAATAATTATATGCATATAATTACACAGGTGCACTATAATTTTGAAATTCTAAACCCAAGTTTTCGCACTCCCTGGAATATCGCCTCACCCCCCCCCCCCCGGTTGGGACCCCCTGCCCAGGGCCTCTGTGAAGTGGCTCAACAGGAGTAGGAATCAGGGATGACTTGGGTGGGAATATGGTAGAACCGAGGCAAAAGGGGCTGAAACGTTTTCAAGCCCAGGAAGCAGCTGGAGCGGACGTCCCGTGAATTCGCTGAACTGCAAGGAAACAGCCCAACTAGATTTTTGATCTCCTGTCGTGATGGCCAATCTCAAAATGTAGCTTCAGCCTTCTCTCCTGGAGCTGCTTTCCTGGTCTGGGTGTACCTAGGGGGATTGGCAGGAGGGACTGCCCAGAATAGTGGCAGCGTAACCCAAGAACCCTGACAGCTGCTCACACCACAAATGTGCCAAGTATCTCCAGAACCATAAAAGTTTAAGAGTCGCGTTCATGTGGCTCAAATAGGGGAAGGGCATCTCTGATCCATCTTTATGACCTGAATGCTCTCTGAGGCCCCCAGGCTGTCAACCTCTTTTATATTCTGCTTGCATTGATGCATCTTCTGAGTTTCTGGATGTTTTGTGTCCTGGCCAACGTCGTGTTCAAATGCTAGAGAAGGAACTCATTTGGAAATTCTCAATGTACTAATTCATCTGACACTGTAAGATGCAGAGAAACTGCAAAACTCCATTATGGGTTGAGCTCAGGCATAAAATAGGACAATTTAAACAGTAATTTCCGTATGCAATTACCAAGGTTGCCAGCATTAACTCTTACAAGCACGAGGCAAGAAAAGGCCTTCGGTGATTGATGTGATGCTAAAGGTTCACAATCAAAAGGTTACCGAAATATTCTGTCAAGTAAAATTCAAAATGGAGTCAGAGGTTTTTCCTTAGACCAAATATCTAAAGAATTTTGAAAGGAGCCAAAATAATTGCAATTGTTGTTCATGTGTTGAGGTGCAAGATGTGATCTGTGGGCAAAAGAGAGACGTGCTGGAGAAGGTAGCCTGGTTGCCTTCTAATGATCCTTGGGCCCTGACTGGATCGAGCCAGGAGCAAGAATTGCCAGAGGAATGAATTTCAGCCCTCTGTGGTTCTGCTAGCTCCGGCCCTCTGGCTCTTAAGTATTGGTAGTGCTGGAAAGGTTTGGGACCTAGGGGACATCCTCGGCCCTTCTTCCCAAGCTCCGTCTGGAACTGGAAAGGGAAACTAGCCTGGGTCTAAAACGCAGAGTTGGCCCTTCCCTTTGGTGTTGGCAGCATCCCGCCTGCAACCATCTTGGGAACTTCTCTGCGAACCAGGAGAGAGGAGGAGGAGGAGGAGGAGGAGGTCTCCAGCACTGGGCTGCCTTGGGATGCCTCCTGTGTCTGCTGCCCAAGGGCTCAGCCCACCTCTCTTGGATCAGAAGCGGGGAGAGGTCTTCACCGGGGCTGGGGTACCTATTGGAAGGTCATGAGGTCTGTTCCCAGGGGCCTCCAGGGGCCTCCAGGGGCAGCTGGAGGGAAGGTGGGGATAGCAGATTTTAGAGCCTGGCCTCTTGCTGTGGGGAGGCGTGGTGGATTGACAGGTGTCTGTGAGAGTCACGGAGGTCTATGTGACCCAGAGCTGTTTTATTAGTTGGACGGTTCCTAAGGAAGGGAGGCCACACTCTCTGCACTGCCGAGTGGTTCGGCTGCAGATGGGCCTGCCGGGCTCCTCACCTCCACTCAGCCTGGTTCTCCTTTGCCAGGGAGTTGGGGGTCATGAGGTTGGAGAAGTTTGGCTTCCTGAGGGAGGCAGGCACCGTGTTCTTCAGCTTGTTGAGCTTGTCCCTCTCCTCTTGGCATTTCCTCAGGCACGGTGGGCAAAGGTCTTTCTCTTCTACCAGATAGAGCGTCTCAAGGCGTTTGATGTTATCAATAAAGATTTCCTCTTCGGTGGGGCCAGGAAAGGGGTTCCTCTTGGAGTTTAGCTTCTTCAGTTTAGGGAGCTTGGCGATGCTGTTCGGGAGCAGCGTCAGCAGATTATCGAACACCCCGACTTCCTGGAGCTCCTTCAGGGCTCCCAGGGTGGTTGGGAGGTTGTCGATGTGGTTGAGGCCGAGGTTAAGGTTCCGCAGGTTCTTCAGCTGGTTGAGCTCCATGGGCAGGCTGCGGGCGGTGAGCTTGTTGTTGGAGAGGTTCAGGAAAATGAGGTTCTGGAGGTTCCCTATGGTTTCTGGCAGCTTATCGATCTGGTTGCTGTGCAGGTCCAGCCAGCGCAGGTTCTGGAATTTATCGATCGCCTCCGGGATCTTCTTAATCATGTTCCGGCTGAGGTCCAGCTCATCGATGTCCTCCAGCTTCAGGATACACCTGGGGAAGGTCGTGATGCCCATCTTGCTCAGGTCAAGGCGGCGCTTCCCGTCAAAGGTGATCTTTATGCAGGTCTTGGCAACCTTCAAGGTGACCTTCTTCCCCTTGGGGGGCTTTGCTCCTCCCTTGGCCATCCCCCTAACTGAAAGGGCAGCAGCTCAGGGGGCATGAAAAGGCGCTCCGTCGAAGTCAGCGGGTGGTGATGCGTGATGTTGAACTCTAAAAGCACACAAAGACATGCAGAGTTAACGAGGAAGGGCGGCTCTTTATACCCCCACACACACCCCCGTTCTGCCGTTCTGCAGGGCTGCTGAGACCAGTTGCAACGGGGGGGGGACGACATCGGGGGCCCCTGCCAAGCTGATCAGACGAGAATAGAGAGGCACCTGTTTTCTCCACCCGTCTGTGGGGAGCTGCTAAAACGGGTTGAACATCAAGATGCTGAAACCTGGTCTTTGATATTGCTCCTCATATAACACTTTTCCTATCAATACACCTTCTGCCCTCCGAGCCCATTGCTTTGCCCAGAACTAGGCGAGCCCAGGGAAGCACGTGTGTGTGTGTGTGTGTGTGT